GACTTGGATCATCAACGACCTGTCAAAAAGCACATTTCCAAGCTTTGATCCGCACCGCAGTATCTATCCTGTTTCCTGTGCATGCACGGCTGCAGGAGCAGGAATAGTGTGATTTTCTGCGGAAAGCGAGAGACGGGCGTGATGTCACCGCTAGGCTCTAGCAGAAGCATCACGTGACGGTCACCACCTGTCCGTGTGCGTGCCGCTGCCATTCGGGGCCCAGCCGCACAGGGGTCCGGCGACCGGCGACCGGCGACCGGCGCGGCGCAGCGTGGACTGACCCAATGCTACCAGTGGCGGTCGCGAGTCGGCTAGCACTAGCAGCATGCGGACCAATCCGCCGCGAGACGGCGAGATGACTTGCCGCGGAGATTGCCGTGAGGCGCGAGCTCTCGCCGTCGCGGCGGCCGGGTCCGCGCGCATCGGCGTCGATCGCCTCTGTGCGGTTGTGCTGTGCCTCGCACTCGCACGCACGGTTTGTCTAATTGTCTCCACGCAGCTGGGTCGTCAGACGCAGCAACGCACGCGTACGTCTCCCTGGCCCCGCCTGCCGTCGCCGTCCGCCCCTCCGAGCTGCTACCCGGAGGAACACGGCACGCCACTGTTTCTGTTTCAAGATGCCCGGCTTTTGGGAGGCACGGCCGGCGGGACTTGGCCAGCCAAAGGCCTCGCCAGTACGGTGCCGCGCCTATTCCCCCCTTGCTGAGTTGCTGTTGCTGATGACCAGACCATCGAGCAAGAACGCGTGGATGAACGTTTCGTGCAGAATTCATGCGGTGAATCCGCTAATTTCCCGGTAAAGAAAACTGCCTTCCAAACAGTCTTATGAAGCTCCGGTCCGTTGCAAACGGTCCATTCGGTAGGTTCACTGTGGGTGCAGTAAGGTTAGGCCCCTTTTTGTTTCAGCTTTGGGCGGTGGCTTTTGGACGTGCTTGCTTTTGGGCAAACTTGTCCTTGCCTCACCTGGCACAAGCAACGAGATGCTTGCTAGGCTAGGAGAGCCAATTTAACTCACATAAGCCAGCAAGAAGAGCTTGCCCGCACAGAAATCAAAGTTAGCTAAGCTATTAGCTTCAAACATCCTGCTCATTCTCATTCCTAGCTCAGTGCTGGGCTAAGAATCTAAACATCCCCTTTGTGACTATGATGCTATTGTTGTCGTCCCTATCCAATAGCTCAAGCACCAATGTGGATGGTGTCTCAAGCCTGAGAATGTTGTCTGGCTCGCGCAGCTCCATCCAACCACATACACTCAAAATCGTCTGAGGTTGTTGCCTTGCCTGAGCCATACAAGATCTGAACCAAATAAGTCCCGACTCTTTGTATACTTCCATTGACATGCATGCTAGTAACCTCGCTCGACATCCCTCTATAACCTAGAACTACCACCACAAATGTCTGAATTCAAATTCAAAACAAAGGCCCAAGATCCTAACCTTGAACCTCACGATTGTTCACGGGAGGTCGTTGGAGACTGCGGTAGCCCGGATCTCGTCTCCAATGGTGACATTTGGAATTTGGCGATGACAAATGAATCGCATAATTCTTAGAAATTTATCTTCTGCATGTAGTTCACAATTGGTCAAACTTTTCCACAACAATTTGCGTGTCAATACAGATGTCTATGATCTTAAGGTACATATATGTATTTCTCTCACTGATTTTTTGTGAGTGCACTTTTCAGAAAGTGTGTTGGTATCTCGCTTCCTGAGAAGTCATTTTTTTAACTTTGATCAATCATATAAAAGAATATTAGTATTTATAATACCGTTAAATAGATCGTTAAATATACTTTTATAATAAATTTATTTGGAGATATAAATGTTGCGCGTATTTTCTACAAAACTAATAAAAGTTAAAAAAATTTTGGAGATCTCATAACGATTTTTATCGTGGGACGGAGGGAGCACGTATGTATTCATTACACAGATCTACACTGAGAGGTGCGAGCTAGGCAGTCTTTGCAAGAAAGATCCGATTGACCTCGTCGCGAGATATGGCGCAGGCATGTATATGGCGCTAGATCCACGGAGGACGTCGGGGTCCCGTCGATCCCGTCGTGGGAGAAAGGTGAAGCCGTGGAAGATTCCGCTACAGTGACACGCCGCGCCGATGGATGTTCGCCGGGCCGGGGCGTCCGCCGTCGTCGTCGTCGTCGCGTAGCAGCAACGTCGCCGTCGAGAGAACGACACTCGAGTGTCCCGTATATAGCTCCGATCGATGCCGTTGCTGTCGCTTGAATACATAGTTGGAATTTCAAACGGAATGCAGGACGCAGGCGCAACGGAACAAATACTAAGCAGCACCCGTCGTCGACGACGACGGCGCAGCAGTAGAAACTTCAAAACGATCGCTTCATGAACCATGATGAATCCAGCACAAGATCGATACAGAGGAAATGGATGTGAAGAAAACAAGCTGTATGTATCTGTGGTATGTATTCGCAAAACAAAACGATCGCTTCATGAACCATGATGAATCCAGCAGCAATATGTATGGATCGTACAGTGAGTCATGGAGCACATCCAGGTGACTAGGTGAGTCTGAACCCTGCAAGTTCCAATGGTATGTGCTCTCGACCGCCATTTCAGAGCTGTACATACATTGCATCCCATGGTCGGTCGAATTATGCTTCCGGAACATTGGCCTATGCACATGAATTTGGCGCGTGGATTTGTATGGTTGTGCTGCAACCAATAAGTTTCAGTAGTAGCTAGCTAGGCGATTGATGATACGTTTGAGCTGGGAGGGAGCACCCTTGCTTTAGGGCGCGGGCCCAGGACTCAGGACTAACATGGCAGCTCGCCTTGCTTGTGCGAGTTGTGCGTAGGGCGCCGCCAGGACAACAACCATGCTCGTCCCCTAAACAGTCAAAGTCAGCTGGCCCTGCCTGCCCTTTTTTTGTGAGTTGTTTGCGTCTGGACACGCCGCCATCTGTTTTTAACAACCATGCTCGTCAATCAGCTAAGTGCAAAACGTGCCCCAATCAAAATTAGTTTTTTAGCTACATTTGGCCCTGATCCAAAGACCTGCTAACCTTTTTTGTTTTTGGAACTACCCTAACTCGCAGCAGCAGGCAGCAGCAGCAACGTGCACGCTGGAGGGGCAGAGGCGAAGCTTCCATTCCGTCGTGCACGGCGTCCACCCGTACCTGCACAAGACGTGTCCAATCACCACCGTTTACTTGGGTCGGTCTTGGACCACTGTAGGAGTCTGATTCTGTCTCTCTCTGTTTCTCAAAGCTACTGGCTTGTGGGCACATGGATGATAGAATCAGAAACGTGGTCTTGTGATTTCTACCTCCTCACCTAACGGTGCTGCATGTTTCCCAGCTTCATCATCTATCTACATGTTCTGAAACTGGCGTTTCCGTCAGTCTCACGTCTGTCCGTCGAGTTTGGATTTGGAAATCATAAATATTAATACTTTTCGTTTGTACATTCGGTTAAAATTAAAGATGATGATGGCTGATGACGACTGCTACTATTATGGGCTATGGCCTTTGGGAGAAGGAATGAGGAGGCGAGGCGACAGGGACCTTGTTGCTGTTGTCTGTGGATTTCTTTCTTGCGCTTTACTAGTGGCTTGGCTTTGGCAATTGGGAATTGGGATGGGGTTCGTTCGCCTCATCTGACGTCGACTCCACACCGCGGCCGTCGCCTTTTCGAACTTGCCAAAGTCCCCTTCACAGGCTTCACTTTACTGCTGCTCAAGCCTCAACAGCTGATGGCTCTCTGCCTGTGGGTGATTACGTTAGTGTCTTCCTTGTCTTAGCCGAGATCGGATAATAAAGCCGCCTGAAATGACAGTCCTAATCAGACGGAGCAAGACTTTGTTCTCTTTAGCAGATTGTGATGCGCGTGGACTCAGTTGCATTTGGAAATGGCACCGTTGGTTCCTGTGGATGTATCACTCACTCCCAAGTTCCTGAAGCAAGCAGGACACTGTGATGCTATCACCTGACGACGACGACCACCACCACCCCTGTTTGCGGCAAGGCAACTACTTAACGTTCGTTGCTCCTCTTTCTTTCTCTCATCTTTACCTTTATATATCTTTTTTTTATAAGGGAAGAACCAAATCTTGAGCCTTAAACTTGCCCCCCATCATTGCTGCTTTTGGATCCTCGATCGCTTCATTTCACTAGCTCCATGATCGTTACTTAACCACCTCCTCTGACCTCTGCTCTGCATTTCTATACCATACCATCAAGCACTACTTCTACTGCCTCCTCACTTCGTCCCTAAATGTTGGTCGTTTTCGTTTTCCCGAGAAATAATTTTGATTAAATATATATTAAAAAATATTAATATTTATGATACATAATATAATTAGTATCATTGGATAGATATTTAAATCTAGTTTTTTAATAAATTTATTTAGAGATGGAAATGTTACACGTATTTTTTATAAATCGAGTCAAAGTTATCGACACGCAAATCGTGGCGACTAACGTTTAGAGACGGAGAAAGTAGCTACGAACAAGGATACAGTGCCAAACCGGCATCAACAAAACCCTACACCAACAGAGAACTGCAGTGAACACGCGCAGACACAGCATTTGGCAGCAGTTCGTTTCAGTTGAGGCACTGTTGCAGCTAGCTAGCAGGGAATCAGTTGTTGAGCTGATCGAGTGCCGGTAGTGGCAGCAGTTCTTGTGCCTCCCTACCCGTCTGCCTGTCTGTCTGTCACTCCATCAGTCCGCCCGATCTCTCCAGTCAGTAGTCGGTAGTCACTGCCCCCCGATCCGATCCCCCTTCTACCAATCCCCTCCTGCTCCTGCGTGAGTTCGTTGCAGTTGCAGCATATATACTCCAGGACTACACCCACTGCCCCGACCTCCACCTCCTCTTTCCTTTCACCTCCCTCCTCGCTCTCTCCTTTTCTTCCTCCTCATCGATCACAGCCACCGGCCAGCTGCAATTAAACGCCAGCTAGTCGAGGTCGAGCGATCGGTCCACATCCACAGAAGCAGAAGCAAGAAAGGCGCCATCCGATCCATGGCGGTGAAGGGCTGCGGCGGGCACAAGGGTTGCCAGTGCGGGTGCGAGCGTAAGCGTCTGTACCGCAAGTGCTGCGCGGCGCTCGTCGCGCTCATCCTCCTCGTCCTCTTCATCATCCTCGTCGTCTGGCTGGTGCTGCGTCCCCACAAACCCAAGTTCTACCTGCAGGACCTGTCGGTGCTGTGCCTCAACGTGACGCCGCCGGCGTCCACGTACCTCTTCACCACCATGCAGGCGACCGTGGCGGCGCGGAACCCCAACGACCGCGTCGGCGTGTACTACGACCAGGCGGACGCGTACGCCGAGTACAAGGGCGTGGCCATCACGGTGCCCACGCGCCTCCCCGTGCAGTACCAGGGGCCCAACGACGCGTCCGTGTGGTCCCCGTTCCTCCGCTCCCTCGACAGCGTCCAGCTCCCGCCGCAGCTCGCCGTCGCGCTCGCGCAGGACGAGACTGCGGGCTACGTGCTCATCGACGTCCGCGTCGACGGGTGGGTCCGGTGGAAGGTCGGCACGTGGATCTCCGGGCAATACCACCTCCGCGTCAACTGCCCCGCGCTGCTCACCGTCAACGAGGGCAAGGGCAGCTACGGCGCCAGCACCGGCGGCGGCACCGGCTACTTCCGATTCCAGCAGGCCGCCGCCTGCGCCGTCGACGTCTAGTCTGTAGCTGGCGTTCGTTCTTCTTGCGTCGTTGCAGCTTTTGGTACATCAACATTCGTTCGTTCTTGTAAATCGATCATCATCGCATCGGAATAAGCTGCGTTTGTCCAGGGGTGCACTACTAAAGATACATTATCTCGTGTTGCTAGATAAATTTTGAATTTTCCCTAATTCTATCCAATTTAAATTTTAACAAAATTTCAATGAATCTTTACCAAATATGAAACAATATAGTTTTTTGACCGTATTTTTCAATAACATCCAATAGCTGGTCTTTATTGGATTGGTAGGCCAAATATTTTTGGTAAACTAATTAAGCATAAACGATATAATGAATAGTCGTGTTGTATTATAGAAGAAATAAGAGAGAGAAAACACTTAGATTCAATTTAGTCAAGCAGTATTTGTATATTTGCACATCTCAATTTTCAAGGTTCGGGTCAGAATTGTTCACCACTTGTGTCCTTTATTTTTTTTTTTTTTTTGGTCCCGTAGGTTTGTATAAATGCGAAAGCATCTTAACAGAGCTTTTCAAGTTTAATAAAAAACAACTAGAAATAGATCTGAGCTTTGACGTCGCAGACCATGTAATCAAGTAATAATAGAGGTTGTTTCCATACCGTACAAAGCTATCAACAGATCTGAGCTTCTTTTCAAGTTTAATAAAAAAAACAACTAGAAATAGATCTGAGCTTTGACGTCGCAGACCATGTAATCAAGTAATAATAGTTTAGGTTGTTTTCGAATAGTTAGTGCCCGAAAGCCAGTGCTATGCTAGCATGGAGCAGGGCAGCCACAGGCCACGCTTGGTTGGACTCAACTGGTACACTCCTGATCGATGCTCCACTAACTAATGCAATGCTGGATAAGTCGTGCCCTTGCGAGAAGGCCGAGTTAGGTGCCTGGTGCACACGGTTGTCAGGGTGGTGCACAGACGTTGGGACACGGCCTAGTAGCTCGTAAAACGTTTTTTTAGCCTGGTGCCTGTGCACCAGGGTGGGTCAATGTGGCTTCGCCCCTGCGTTTGTCAATCCATCGATCGAATGGACGATGGTGTTTCAGAGCTTGGAATCATGGAGTGTTTTAACTAGGCATCAGGCTGATTAGGTAGTGATGGATCGGATTCTGATTGGTGGGTTGGTTGGAGTCTTTGGATTGAAGAAGGGAGCAGAGAGATGGAGGAAAAGATGCATCATACCATACTGTACTATCATATCTATGGGGCAAACGTGATGGCCTTTCGATCGATTCGTGGATTGAAGCAGCAGCAGAAGCAAACTAGTCGTCGTCGTCGCCGTCTTTGCTTGTGACGGAAATGTTGGACCTTTCTCTCGGAACCCAGCTTGTTTGGTTGAAAACCAAGCATCGATGCCTGCAGACTGATAACGAAGACCTTTCTCTTGTGGCGAGTGATCGAGGATGAGCTGTTTGGTTGGATTGGCCAATAAACTGGCATGGCCTGGCCGGGGAACCCGGGCACGTCACTCGCACATGGCGATGGTGATGCTGACGCCGCCGCGCGCGCGCCGTGTACGTTGTATCATATCCCTTGGCCCTCTTGCCAAGAATTCCTGCACATCATCAACTCAACTGTTGGCGTGTCGCGCCCCTCGCTCATTAAGCCCTAAGATAGGAGAAGATGACAACGCTCCAAACCAGGCAGGGCGTCATCAATCCGTTGGTGATTGTGACGAGTTGCACTTAGCAGTAGCCACTAGCACACTTTTCCCGTCGTCCCTCGTTTCAAAAAAAAAAAAAAATCCTCCATCTCTAGATGACACAAACTATATCGATAACTAATATCTACCTATATCTATATATATTTAATATTTAAATACAAATTTATTTCCAACCATATTCTCGTTTTCACAATCGTCCTTCATTCCCACCCAACCGCACATACATTACCAAATGACAAAGCAATATCTATACTTTTTTTTAACCTAGCTATATTTATACCTAATAATACTTCTGTATTCTATATCTATATCTATATCTAACATTAAAGAGCGAAGGGTATCTTCCATCTGCCTTTTTTTACTACCAATAATGACCATGCACCTCTCCTTGTCTCGTCTGTGCCGTGGACTCATGGCCCGTGCTGGTACGAGTTAGTGCGTCCAACTACGGCATTGAGTCCCATTCTAATACGTATCGGAATTGATGGCATTAACCATTACATAAATCTCTGGGCTACAAGTCATTCAAGTAATCGCACAATAAGGTGTGCATTTCTTTGTAATGCACGTGGACTTTGGTATTTTTATTTTAAAGTACAAAATAAACTCCTTTCTTCATTCTTCGGTCCATCATCCCCCACTCTCATACCCCTTCTTCCTTCCTAGCTCCCCTCACCCCTGCCCATCTCCGTCACTCGCTTAGACCCTACTTCTCGATTTCACGATCGTCCTTCACTCTCAGACATCTTCTTCCATCGTCATATCTCACTTAATTTAGAGTTGGAAAGGCACCCCACGGATCTTATTTTGTCCCTTGTTGGTCATATCTTATTTAATTTAGAGTTACAAAACCTTCACTAGCTTCACACCACACTCATGTTGGTGGCCTGGCCCGAGCTTACGTGTGTCGTGACTTGGCACGCACAGGTGTATCTAGCCTTCCATCCTAAGATACCACACCATAGGAAAAGAAGCTTTCCACATGGATATGCATGTCATGTAACCATATTTCCCTAGTAGTCAAAGTTTCTAGGAAAAATTTGTTTTCCTAAGGGTTTTCATTGAAAACCGTAAGGGGCATGGTCTCTTTCTCGTGTCAAAAATGTCCTTAAGATACTTTCCCTACGAAATTTTATAAGGGAAACACTTCCCTACCTTTGTCTTAGTATTTCCCTAGGCTTTCCACATTGATTCTAGTAGCAGGCAATGGTCACGTATTTGAACTGAGTCAATCTCTTCTCTTATTTTTTTTTTAATACGAGATTAATCCTTTATCGCAGCTAGCATTTATTATTGATCTTAAGATTTAATTAAAATAAGATTGAACCAAGTCTAATAATCAAACAAGATAGCTAGCACGCTCTCTCTCTATATATATAACTTTGGCATTGCGCGTGCTAGAATAGAAGAGATATAATAAGTAACACGCTAATCACTGCAATTGGTTGGTGGATCGGATGGTACCAAATACTGCACCTGCACGCGCCCCTTCATTCAGTTACCTTACACACCGTTGCAACTACTGACGCGCGCACTTATATACATACTTAGACACAGACTATATACATACTTGTAGTAGTACCAGTAGCAGAGTGATGTAGAAGCTGGGAGTGGATAGTGGATACCACCTTTCAGTTGCAAGTCCCTTTCGTCTCTTGCGTGGTCGCTAGCTCGCGTTAACTGCTCTGCCCTCTGCCTGCAGCTGCAGCAGCTAGCATCGATCATGGCAAAGGTACAATACAAAGTGGCTTTCAGGTCGGTTGCTGTTATACTTGCTGCACACCATCGGCGACAGGCTAGGGGTGCTTTTCAATAATCCAAATGCAATTGCGCGCCGCTCTGTGCAGGTACGATATCATTTTGAGACAGAGAGAGCCCTGCTGAATGCATTGATAATGCGATGCAGACAAGTCTCAGTGACAATCTGGAGTCCTGATTACCAGCATACTGCCTTCTGCGTATATTGGGGGCGAAAAGTAAACACTGATGGAGTGATGGATATGAGATGCAGTTATATTACAGAAAATGGACGGAGACTTTGGAGGAGACCTTTGCGTCGCCAAGATGCTAAAGGGTTGGAGCAAGAATTGAAGTGGAAACCTTTGCGTTGCTAAGATGCTAAAGCAGGGCAGAGGAAGGTGCATGCGTCCAAAGTGACTTTCGTAGCTTCCTTTCTGGTTTCGCCAAAGCCAAGAATGGTGAGCTATATCTAGGCTGCTATTTTCCCTGTCTGGGAGAGTGTTTAACTTGTGTATAGACAGGAAAATAAATAAATTGATTTGAGTTGAGGGGGCAACTCATGAGAGGAGCGAGGAAGGACGGAGGAACATATATGTATGATTGATAATATCATGCAAGTGAATAATAATGCGAAAAAATCTACCAACAAAAACAAAAAGAAATGTGAAAAAAGGCCACTGATTAGTTATACTACATATATAAAGGATCAGGATCTCCATCAGCCCAACTTTTTGTCTCAACGTTTTTGGGAAAAAGTTTTTTTTTTTGAAAAAGGTGGGGAAAAAAAGGTTTGGAGGAAGGAACGAGAGAGAATCAATGTGTAGTCGCTACTCGCATGGATGGATGGATGGACGATCCTCTCATCATCAATCAAGAATATAATGGAGCACACTCATCACATGGATCTATCGCCCCTCTCCATGCACAAACACAATGATCATCTCAAAGGACAAGGAGACATCAAAACTAGGGAGCTTGGAAGCGTCAAGTGGGCCGGGGTGCGTCTAGAGGAGCAGACAAGTTAGAAGATTCGCCGATCGCCCATCCAATCATGCAGCCATGTGTCCTTGTGTGCGTGCAATGTGGAGCTTCTAGTTGAGTTGTCAGTTGTGGCTGGCATCGCTTCTGTATGATAGATAGATGGGCCGTCCGTAGTTGGGATCCCATGTCTCGTAGCCTATCAATGTATCTGAGACACACTTCACATGTCATTTGGGCTCTCCTCCCTCTAAAGCCCAGCAGTAGCAACACCAGCCCATGTGGAGAAGCTGCTGGCCCACCGGAAGCTAGGGATGGCAATCACACATTCACACCAGCAGCGGGCGGGCAACATCGAACCCGCAGGTGTCTTCACACCTTTCCTAAAAAAAAGTTGTCTTCAGACCTGTGATTTATATTGACTAGACTAGATTTAAGTTGTTGTGAACTTCCGATTTATTGGTGATGATATATACATAATTGTGTATTACTCTCTCCAATTTTTTAGGTTTTTATTTGTATGTTAGCTTCTTATTAACACATCCGTCGGTGACTCGAGACCCGTGGGTGGGTGTGACATTTCACCCGCAGGTCTATTGAGGA